AGAATTGGCAGATGTGCCACAACATATGAAGAAAGATATGTGAAAACGATTTAAATGAAAATCAACGATTAAGAGTCTCGCAACAGGTGCACCATTGACGCCGATTACCAGCCATGTGTGCAAGTGTACCAAACCAGATGTTCTGTCCTTGGGACCCCAATCTTGGAGTCTAAAGTGCCCCATTACTGCCAGTTTTGAAGTTAGCGCCTTCATTGTTCGAGCCCAGGTTATTTGTGTTCACCGTGTCACCGCTTCCAGTTAGTGTCTGTATGCGCAAACATAACACGATAATGCAGTCTTTGAGCCGGCATCCGCAACACATGTCTTAGCCATCGAAGTCTCTGGAGCGAGATGACGACACTCAGCGGACTAATGAAATTGTCTGCAGTGAAGATTCTTCGGCGAACTTCGTCGTTGGTGATTCGCTGTTGCCAACGTATTCAGGCGATGCAACGAAGGCAACGGTGGTCAAAGACACTTAATCTCCGTACGTCTTCTGTGTGGAGGGGCCAACTCTCACAGCCGTAGAGTAGGACAAAGCGTACTTTGGCATTGTAAACGCGGCCTTTCAAGAAGAGACAGAGATAGCGTCGGCACCACAAGTGACCTAGGCTAACGAAAACCACTCGAGCCTTGCGGATACGCGCTTTTGTCAGTCCTTTTGAGCTTAAGCAACTCCCGAGATAAGTAAAGTGATCGACGACTTCCAACTAATCGTTCATCAGCGTGAGGACAGGTGTAGCCTCTTGCTAGTCTTGTAGTAAAACCTTTACATTTCGATGGAGAAAATGTCACACCAAACTGCGTGACGGACAATGATAATTTACACAGGACGTTTTGAGCGACCTGGGAGGAGTCGCAGAGTAAAACGATTTCGTCAGCATATTCCAAGTGTTGGCGATCGGCTACACAGGGTTGGGGAAACATAAGTCTGTACGGTGTATAGTGCTTTCCGCTGAGCAAAGAAACTTTAGACTGGAGACTCGAGAAATCCATGATTGTGTGCGTTGTGGGCTTTTGCACGACTCGGTCGCGCGGTCCAGCGCGGACCGCAAGGCAGCAGCGATATTCCAGTGGCTAGTTTTCGGTTCATTAGTCTCATCTGAAAAACCGTGTCTAACAATGAATGCCGACAAGAGGCAATGGTCAAATCAAGTGAACGGCCGCTTCACAGAGATGTTCACAGATATTTGTGATGTTTTATGCGGAGAAACCTTATCAGGAGGTTAACCCACCACATCCTCAAGCGTTGCCGCTGATCGACACGTCCGCCTACTCGGTGGAAGGGAGGGTTAGCCCACCTTATTCAGTTGTTGATGATAGCTCCACTTCCTTGAATACAAGACAGNAGGATGCACAGCCGATTATGAACGGTTACTATTAGAACACCATCTATCACGGACAACGGGAGTGATAAGCCGAAAAGTACGCCAATACAAAACAAAGTAGTTCTCCCCTTTCACAAACACACACACGGTACACGAGAAATTTTGCTTAATTGGCTTTCAGAGATTACCAGCACATGAAGGGCAACCAACGAACAAATAATAACTTTTTGCAACAGGCGGTGGTGGCTCGGTAGTAAGGTCACCAAATTATCACAACAGCGGTAATCTGTTCGAATCCCATCACCACCACAGCCTGAATTCCTCGGCTCTGTGATATATGGTGGCCCTTTGATTGGCCGCCTCCCCCTTCTGGAAGATCGCTTCTTTGTATGTTCAATAAAAGGAAGTGAAAACGAAGAGTAAAAAAGGAAAGAACACACAGTACTTAGAATCTGTTATAGCGTTCTATACGTCTCCAAGTACAGTAAACTTATTACGAACAGAACACGCCTTGGAAAACCGAGATATCAGGATCACAGAAGGACTCACGAGAGTAATAGTCAATCAAGTCCTGGATGTTCTGGAAGTTGATCCGATTGCTGATGTAGTAACCGGCATTGTCGTCTAATATGCGAATACGATAGTGTTTCACAACCCACATGTTTTTGTCTTGATCGTAATGCCTAACGGACAGCGCGAAGTTCTGAGCCTCTGTAACACAGAAAGAGCCAGGATTGACCCGAAGATTTTAAGCTGATTTACAAAAATATCTAAAAATAAAACATGAAACTGAGCAGATAAATCAGAAAATATATCGCAAACTAGAGCGTAGCACAAGACAAGTGGATACGTAAACAATTTAACATTTTATAGAAAAAATCGCCGTCGTTATGTCGTTCCATTTTAGCGGCTTGACAAAGTGAAAAGAGGCTGACTGAATCCGTACCAAAACAATTTCGCATTTCAAACACCATCATCAGCATCAGCATCATTATCATTGTATAGAAAATTATCCTAGGCCCGGTGTTTTGCTGAATATTTGCCTTTTAAGTTGAAAATTCGCACTGATATGAATAAACTGAAAAATTTGCACAATGTATATAAACTGCTGTATCTCTGTGTAGATCACTTTCCAGTTTGTACAACCATTAACCATGCACTTTCGTGCTCCGGTTTTGGTTGCTATTCTGTCCAATGCAGTGCGAAGACTTATCCCACCGTCAAGAGGAAGCCCCAGGTACCCCGATCCTACGTCCATCTAGCGGGGTACTTTGATCGGTAAACTGCTCCTCACCGTGATTATTTGATGGAGTGACCTCTCCAGGAGGGGGAGTGTGGATAGACGAAGGGAGCCAGAAGTTGTCCAAGCAACTGACTTTGTGAGGCTGAGCTTTGTCTGGCCTCTCTACCCATTAACCGTTCAGGCATGATTGGATCTGTGGCTGTGAAGAGCCGTCCTGTGTAGCTTGTAGGGTCATGGAGGCACGCAAACCATCACATCACGTCAAGGTGCAGTCTTGTCATGATGGCTGTGTAGATGCCTACATTATTTAAGCCACATTTTTTTCTTTCAACATGAAGTGAGGTACTATTTCACAGAATATTAATAAACCGCATACGATTAAGTACTCCGATTATTATTATTATTATTATTATTATTATTATTATTATTATTATTATTATTATTATTATTATTATTATTATTATTANATATAAACATGGCGAGACAGAGAAATGGTGATTTAGACCAAACCTTTTGTAATTTTCCGTACATTTCTTATTAGATCAATGCCAGATGGATCCTCTTGAGTAAAAAAAAACTATTATTGCTTACAATCGCTTCTTTGTATGGCTATTAATTAATAAGCTTTGTCTGGCCTACTTCCAAAAGACGAGTAGAAACCAAGTACGCATATCGCTCCAGACACCAATTTTGTGTTTGAATACACTGATTGGAACTTAATTCGAGATGGCATACTGTTGTATTATTCCTTCGATTCTTTAAATTTTTCCTTTTTTGCTGCATTCAACGTCACCAACGATTGCATCTATCACCTTATAAAATTTTGTCTAGAACACGCCTAAAAGAAGTCAAAGAACGAATGAGATTATAGATGCGATGTCAGCTGTATGTGGTAAGCTTTTGTTGCCTAAAGTTTATTCGATGACAATGCAAAATGCAACAGACAGGAGTAGTCTGGATGTTGAGTCCATTGTGTAGAAAAAGGGTTTTAGCATGAAATCAAATAATATACCGGATACCTGCACCATCTCCAAAGATCTTAATTCGAAGCATTCTGCAGCTGGTCTGTGTAGTAAACAGTTTATGCCTTCTGTAAATCAGTTATCATAAATCACGGTGTTTCACTCATTAAATAATCGGATGTCGAGGAAAGCTTCCGAAGCCTCAGTAGTCGGGAGTGGATGCCCTAGGTTGTGGCTGGTCACCCTTTAATTATACCTCACGAAATACTCCAATACGACCAAGCATCTCGTGGAGATGTTTTCCCACCAAAGTGAAAGGACAGAAAGCCAATATCCGGGGCTATAACCGGGTCGATGGACCAATGGCAGTTCACCTAGGGCAGTTGGCGAAAAACCTTGATTCCAAACCAACCGAGAGGCGTATGAACCACACCCACTCACACCATGTGTTAGTGGCCATCGGCTGAATTGGTCACCTTAAAAGTTTGATCCCGAACAAAGGGCGTAGAATCCGATGAACTGGACACCGGCCGCAATGAATTACAGTTTTCACGCACCGNTTGGCTAGCCGAGGGCACTGGTTATAAATTCCAAGAAAATTTACCTGTCTTGGTCTGAGCAACCTGGCAGTACCGCGCCCACATGCAAATCATGCAAATCTTTTTATAAAGATTATTGGACGTTGATTTGCTTGGTACACAATCTGATCTCAGACGTGTGAAATATAAATATGAATTACATGTCAATGAAATATACTTTCGTTATCATTAATGCTCACAATTATTTTTTAGTAGAACATGAAAAGGTACACAACCAATTTTATGTAATGGTCGAACCGTATATAATTTTATGGAAAGATATAAAGCGGAAATAAACGAGCACCAAACCAGAAAATTGAATATACTAACAATAGTACCTGAGCTTGGACGAATAAGATAGGTGCCTTTGGGGTTTCCGACTAACAGCAGTTTTCTGTCTGCCTCACGTCGCCCAATATCATACCAGGCATCCAGACTGGTCGGAAGACCATCGTCTATCAATACATAATTGCTCGGAACATATCCCGATTCACCGGTGCGCTGATGTTTTGCAAACCACCATTCCACCGAAAGGTCTGATAGCACAAACATGGTGTCACCCTTCTGGAATGCCAGATCATCCGGGTGTTGACCGTCGTAAGTGTACAGTGCACGAACACGAACCATGGGCTGGGCCGGAGCGGGAGGTAGCATGGGGAGCACGGGATTCTGTGGAATTGCTCGCATTACGTCGGACATGGGAACAATTGCCATATTGCCCGGATTTGCGTCAGCCATAACTTGGGGAGGCGGGTGATACGATGTGGGATAAGCAGTGTCACGAGGGGCCGCATTAACTGTCTCCACAACTGAGTGTTGAATATTAGATCCATTTTGGGTATAGTTGGGATAAAAAGGGGATATTTCAGTTTGTGCTAGCTTTGTCTTCCTTGGTATACACATGCAATTCCCCATGGGCTTGTGTTACAGATGGATACCACGTTTACGTGAAACAATGCGGTATGCTAAGCATGGTTCTGAAGAATTTCGAGCATCGGAAATGACATCAAAGACGGAGATTAAAGTGCAAATCGCTGAAAAGAACAATGTTCGATAAGGCACATCAATAAATAAAATAGACAAGCGAGCAACAATAAAAGAACCCCCAAATCTAATATGTTCGCATGGTATTTTTAGGACCAGGGTCTCACGATTTGGTGTCACCCAAGGATAACCTTTTTATGTCGGGGAAAGTGAGGTTTATGATCTCCCATAGCAGTGTTCGCACTGAATAGAAAGCTAAATACCACACGTTGTCACTCGTCGACTAATGAGATTAAACGTGGATTCCAAGGGGCATTTACCGTCAATATCAAACAAGAATCAACGGTGGTGTACATTTTGGATTTCTGCTAGCTCTCGCATGTATTATTATGGCCTCTTCTAATGTAAGCAACTAGTTTTTTGAGCTAAGCGCAACCTTCGGAATCCTGCTTCATACTCATCTATTGACATTATTCCGTCATATCACAAATCTCCAAAAGCCAGCGAGCATACGTAGCACGACTTGTAACGAGCCGTGAACCTAACGTAAGCCTACGCAGAAACCGCAAAATGAGGTGGACTCATAGTGCATTAAACATGAAACGTGCTGCCGCAACGGGAAACTCCCGTGAACAGTACCATCTCATTCGAGCCAACGTGAGAAAGTTTGGGGTGTGGAAGAAACGATCGACGAAGCTGCCGGCTAGCCTATTCATAATCAACAGGCGGGACACTTCAAAGCACAGTTTGGTTGGTGAACAGGGTTAGTTTCTCGCACAACTAGTAGAACACAGGTCCCATGGTCAAGCTCA